CGGCTCTTTTGATGTTTCGAATAGGGGTTTTCCTTATGCAAAGTTTATTTATGTAATTGTTTAAATTTCGTAACAGTTCTAAAAGGTAAACAACACTCTTATGATTTATAACCCAGGTTTCTATTTGCAAGTCGGGTTTTTCCATAAAAGTATCTTTGCTATTAAGAGACGTAAAAGTCTAAATCGTATTTACAATTACTTAACTAATTAAATGAACACATTTTCACGTTTTCTCCGAAAAGGGGTAGTCAAAGCGAACAGAGCGCCACAAAACACACACATCGTTTTATCTTTCGCTTCAGTTGTATTCATGAGTACTACCATACTTACTTATTTGTCAACTTGTATTATTTGTACCACGCTGTCAAATAAATATTATGTTTATCATTGTTCAAAACAACAACCGTAGGCACTTTGAACGCTTTTGATTTACTTCTCGCCCTTAAACCACTTTTTAACCCTTAACACTTAATTAAGTCTGTTAAAAAATTGAAATTTCAGTAACCTGTCACAACCTGTCACAAAAAGAAAATACACTCTAATAGATTTACCTTATCTAAAGCTCTAATCATAAAAGCTTTTCAAAATTCTTCATATAAATTTTCTCTTTTATTTGAAACATTGAAAAACTTTTTATTTTATTATCAAAACAAGGATTTGAAGGATAAAAATCGATACTTATATATTTATTACATGCATTCGTACTATATTAGTGAATTTGTTAAAAATAAGAAGAAACAACTCTCTCAACTCAAACTCAAAACTTGTCCAATTTCAGTCCCGAAGGAATGACTTTCTTTCCATTGAACACATTAAAAAAAGAGTATTCAAATTTATAATATCAGGTTAATCGCGCCCAATGTATACTGACAATCAATACACAATAAATCTATGAAGAATTCGTTCTGCTATAAAAGTGAACAGAATAGTATTTAGAGCACGTGGGTGGGTCGAGATCCATTTCTTACTCACAAAAGACAAAACTTGTCTTATTGTAGCCAATACTAATGATATAAATTGACTTATAACAAGTTACTCCAGTTCATTGTATGTGGAAAATATGGACATCATTTGTGACCATTGAAGTATGTCCTTTCCGATTAGCCCTCTATTCTTGTTAAAATGGTTAGATACTTTGTTCAGCTTTATATTTTTATCATAATCATTTGAGTGATGAAAAGTTTAGATTATTCTTATTTCAAGTGGTCCATATTTTATTTTTCTTATCAAAATCAAATTCGAAAATTATCTTCATTGCAACTAAAAAGCAAATTATTTTCTACCCTTGCATAATTCTATTATTGCGTTTAACCTTCTCCCCTCGATGCAACCCTAACGGAACTATACGATCTATCGATTATGTGTAATCATAATAAAAAATATAAGTTATTTACGGAACCCATTAGCACCTCCCCGCAGGTCATATCCGGTACGAAATCACAGGGTCCAACCAACCCTATGAGATGACGCGGCGAAGTAAGTGTAGCTCATTAATAAAAGCCAATTTAAATCTAATACACGATAACTGAATATCGTAAAAAACAGTAAAAAACTCCTTATTACCAAGTACATTTGTTTAAGAATATATATATTTTTTAGTTTAGGATCCTTTGACTAGTAAAGGCAGTAAGGAAATCCTATTACACCTTATAAATACTTCTGATACAATATAAATAAAGCGAATGGTCACATCATCACAAACTTAGCTGCTTTTGTTGTATGATTTGTCAAGTTAATTTGAAATTCTCTTATTTACGTGGCAAAGACTGCCTTTTGATTTTTAACACCTACAGTCAACAATCGTAGCATATTTTTCGTTTATTATGCAAAATACCTATTACATATTGTCTGTATTTTTTATAAGATACAGAGCGCAACAAAATACCTTAAGTGGTTTACCTTACGTTGAGTGTTGATGGAATCAAGTAGCGAAGACAGCTAATGCGGTAAAAAATTGTGCCACCCCAGATTTTCTCACCTGTTTTACATCATTTGTAACCATTAAATTATGTAAGTAGTCTGCACTCGATGCATCACGCGTGGGGCCCTGACCCATATGCTGTCGTGCTATCGCGATAATTTTCTGTTTTCACAACAAGTCGGTGAAGCAATAGTCTCATTTCAGTACACGGTCAACATTATGTGACTATTGCTTGGTAAGATGCGTCGTGGAAACGGCAAATGTTCGCTTTAGTGCAATATATTATAGTGCAATATATTATAATATATAATAGTGTGGCCGTGGCAATACTGACTAAAAGTAAGTAGTGATTTGAACGGATAATCCACTTTGTCTTAACTCTTCTTAATAATTTCAGATGAGTCTAATAGATTTTAGAGCAAAGCCACAACTGAAATACTTTCACTACAAATATCACCCTTAATAGAACGTAATAAAAGCTCTTGTGTGTCCTTGGTAAGGTACATTTCAGTATTTAGGGATTCTTAGTTTCACGTAATATTTACATAAAATAATCTGTGACTATTTATCATATTCGCTGAGTTTATTTCTCCACACAAAGTTTTTTAGGGTTCCGTATTCCTGACAAGCAACCCTTATAGTCTCGTCATGTCCGTCTGTCTCTAAGACCCCGGTTTTGCTTGGAGACTGTTAGCACTAGATAGCTGTAATTTAGTGGAGATATGTTTATCAATCACGCCGAGAAAATGAAAGAATAAAATTATGAAAAAAAATTGTCGTTCAACTTTGGTTATAGATAATTTCATACCTATTGAAAATTCCTTAGAAGAAAATATTAATAGTGACATAGATGAAGTTATTGTGGATAAAACCTTGCATTTAAAAACGAAATCTAAAAAGAAACATTTAAAAATTGTTTTTTTTTTAATTTCCGATACAGAATATAAAGACTCCTGCTCAAATATATTGAGGTAACGACAGGCAACTACGGAACCCTACATTGCGCATAGCACGACACACACTTGGCCGGATTTTTCTCTTAAACTGAAGGGCACCGTAAGGAATGTAAATAATGCAACGGGGTAGTGAACTCAAAACATTCCAATACAATACAAGTGTAAACAGATGTAAAGAAATGCCTTTCGAAAACCACTATTTCATTTCAATTAATACAGCCAAATGATTAGAAGTGGTAGGCATTTGTCGCATGCTACTTCATTCGGCAACTGCTTTGATCGAAACATTAGCTAAAGATAGTTCTCTACCATAAGATATACTATAAAATTCATTTTAATAATCTCACAAAACTAATTGCCTATGCATTAGTAAACAAATAATGGAAAATATTTATATTTTCTTTTTTAGGTTTAAAAATAAATAGGGCCTCCATTTATGTGCGTTTCCAGAATAAATTACAAAAACGAGCTTTATTTGCAAATAGCAACCTTCTACTATGGTACGGAATGCTGCTTATCCAAGTCAGACTCGCACTTGGTCATTTTTCTAAAGAATTTGAAGCATGCAATACTAATTTTTTACAAGATTACAATTTAAAATATCTTTTTTTTGTATAAGGTAGGTACCTATAGATTGTTTAAAAATACTATTATTAAATGAACTGACTTTAAAGCAAATACTTATGTTAAGTATTCACGGCTTAATCTATATATTTAAAATAAAGTCATTTTAGTTAGAACACATATAACTCAAGAAAGGTTGGGTACATTTTCATGAGATCTGATTTTTTGGATTCGTCGTTCTACTGTTATAATGGCTGTACGAAGTTCGCTCAGCTTGTAATCATAAAATAAACGTCTATTCTCACTTACGATTAAAATATTTTTTAAATCCAAGCGATTCGAAGCTGACGGTGTACAGATCTGTTAATACTTTTTGGTATTAGTAAAAAATGCAATCAAATGTGTTGTTTCATCTAATTGATGTTAGGCCTGTCAGAGCGGCGGCTTCGTCGCATGCCTGCAGCTGAGAAATGCCATTGGAAAGTATAATAATTTTACCGTAGAACATTAAACTAATATTTTGGTATGCATTATAAACAAGCATATCGTGGAACTGGTAACAAATTCACAACTAAATATTCGCGATTAAGGTCCATTCGCATCAATTTTGCGAAATCTCAATTTAACTAAAACTAGCCAGCCCATACAGTAATGTCAAATTGACATTGTTATTTTGACATTTTTTTTGGGTTAAGCCTAGTTTTTGTTAAACTGAGATTTAGAAAAATTGCTGCCTAAAACCACGAGTTTGAACATTTGTACAAATTCCAAAATACACAGTTCCCGCTTTCTTATTTTTGTTACAGAAATTGAAGGTTTTTTTTAATAATATACCTACCTACCTTAACCTTTAGTTCAAAATCATTCGCCGAAAGAAGCTTTATTTAAATTAAGAAATCTGTTGCAGAAAAATCATCATAATTACTACAATTTATATTTTTCGAACTAATAAAAAATATTAAATATTAGTGAGATCAGTGTTCAGAATTTTTTCAATTTCTGGATTTCATTAAGGTAAAGCGTCAACGTATTTTACTGATAAAGGTCCGATAAAAAGTGATGCGACTTTTATCCGCCGGGTTTGACTGCCTTTATGAGAAATTCCTTGAGTTGAATACTTAATAAGATACTTCTGTGAAGATAACGCTGATGTGGATTCTTAATACGATTGATTTATTTAAAGTGTTCCGAAATCGATAGGGCGATCATGTGACATTATCGTAAAGCCTTTGTAAAAAAGTCCACGGCGAAACCGCACTTGTTAATATTTAAAACTAGTTAAAACAGCTGTTGTGTATAATGCGTGTCGGCAAGAAACAGTGCATATCTACCTACTGAATACCGATACTTTATTTTTGTTATTACTGAATATTCAGTGGTCAGTACAAAAACTGGGCACGCGTTAACCCCCTCTTGCCCGTGCCACTCTCCCCTAGCTACGCCAGGTACGGGCCCGCACGTACAAGGGGAAGGGATGATCGAAAATAATAGGGGAAGAGAATTTTAAAATTTATATTTTTTGCAGCCGGCGCAGGTGATATAACGCGAGCGCGTGCGCCGGCGGCTCACTTGTACGCGAAGCTCCGCCACCGCCGCTCGCGCTGCCGACACTAAGCTCCCGCGAAGCCTTCCCCTATCGCGCAGTGCTTTTCCGATCGCCGCACGGACCGCTCGTGCCCGCGCGTTCTCCCACCGCCCGCGTAAATACGCAACATGCTACAAGAGATACAACTCGTTCAAGGTCAGACGAACTACGTAGTCGTCTCGTCCGGCTACCCCTCAGCCACCGTATCGAAGGCGCCGGTCGACAAACGAAACGTGCCTATCGCGCCCGCTCCTGAAAAAAATTACGTCACGCACGATACGCCGCCCAACCTGCAATACAGAAAGAAGGTTCACTTCAGAACGAATCCGTACACTGGGCCGCAGGCTGCGTCGATCGCTAGACGTAACGCTCGCGAACGTAATCGTGTGAAGCAAGTTAACGATGGATTTAATGCGCTCCGCCGTCACCTGCCAGCTTCCGTAGTGGCCGCTTTATCGGGTGGCGCTAGACGTGGATCCGGCAAGAAACTCAGTAAAGTCGACACATTAAGAATGGTAGTTGAATACATAAGGTATTTACAACAGCTATTGGAGGAAAGCGATGCCGCTCTGGGTATTACGCGTGATCAGGAGAACAGAGAAAATATACCGAGTAATTCCTCACAGCCAATGACTTCGTTGGATATGGACGATGGCTTCTTCTATGGTAGTGGTTCGCCCTGTTCTGACAAGCCGGATTCACCTGCGCCATCAGAATGTTCTTCAGGCGTTTCGTCTTCGTATTCAGCAGTAGACCGCTACGAAGTCCCCACACAGCAGCAACTTGGCTCGATGGATGAAGATGAGCTCCTAGACGTGATTTCGTGGTGGCAACAGAAATAGCAATCATGTAAGTTCACATTAGCTTTTTAATTTAATTTAACTTCTAATTTAACGCGATATTTGATGTTTTGTTTACCATAAAATCAACTATAAAAATATCCAATAAGAATTTCAATATTAATGTCTTATTTGTTAGACGTCGTTAATTTTAATTGGTTCAAGTTTATTAATAAGCAAGAATTTTAAGAGATGCTGTTGCTTTTTACTAACGATTGTTTTTGTTTTGTCCGCAGGTCTGGCCGAGCTGTAAATTAATTCATAATGGACGAATCCCTCCGACAAGTTGTGCATTATTTATTTGTCTTGAATTTATTGCCAATAAGTACGAAAAGACTCTTGTGTATCTAGTCAAACCAGTAGTGCCTTATAATTTTAAATAGTAAGTACGACTTTACTAAAAAGACGATTGAGATAATGTTGGTATGCCAATTTTCAATGATAAATTGATTGCTGTATCCACTGCTGTGTGTTACCGTAGGTCAGTCACTGAGGCTTTGTGATTACTGCATTTGTATTATATAGTTTAAAAAGAATCAGTCAATATGTAAATATAGATGATAAGTTTGATAGATTGTAAGGTACATAAATAAATTATTTATTTAACTTTTAATATGTCGCAATTATTTCCCATATCGTTGCATCTATAGTGATATTATGAAAAGGTAAAGTTAGTGAGGTTGTAGGCGGTAATCTATTGAACTGATTTTGATTTTTTACCAACAGAGAGCTACATTATTTGTGAGTTTCATTGGTGTAGACTATAGTTTTTGTCTATATTACAATAAAAATATAGTCTACACCGAAGTGAGGCGAGGGCGGGCCACTTGTCGTTATATAAAACTAATAAAAACACACATAATAATGTAAATCAGAGTTTTATATAAATCAATGAGTTTTCAGAACAAAACTAAACACTTTTTTTTATAAATTTTAGGGATATTAGTATAATTAAGCTTAACATTCCGCATAGGTATTACCTTTTCCCTATTTAAATAAAAATATCTACAGATTACTATTTTCCTTCCTACAAAAAAGAAACTTTAATTCTGACATTATTTTCAATGATGAGATGGTAATTAGAAATTGTAATACGTTTATAAAAGATCGATTATACCTAAATACATCCACTGAATCAATCTGCCATTTGACATCTTCACTTGATTATATTTAAAATATAGCAAGAAGAGATTACTGTAAATTAAAATGTACTTAAGTTAAGTTGGGCAACCGGTCCTTGTGTCTTTATGCGAAATATTTATATTTAAATTATATTGTGGGGCCTCAGGCGTTTACCTAGTAGAGAGCATTAAACAGTACTTACTCATAAGTACGTTATTGGTGATAATATCAAAAGCTATTTAGTACTAAGTACATTGTTGCAAATCTTTTCGAAGAAAATATTTTGAACATCATAAACGCTTATAACACCTGTGAATAATATTAACTCAATTATTATATCTGAAGCCGATATAATCATAAGTTAATGTTAATTACAAATTTGAATAAATCCTTGATATTCTCCTATCCGACAACCTCCGTGGTCGTTTGTACGCCGGGTTTCATGGTGTCGCCGACTCGAGAGGTCCCGGGTTCGAATCCCGGTGGGGGCAGATGTTTGTGTGATGAATACGAGCATTTGTACTTCAGTATGGATGTTTCATATGTATTTCTAAATAAAAATATACTTATATATATACAGTATGTATTGTATCCGTTACCCTAGTACCTCATAATACAAGCCTTATAGTGCTTACTTTGGGGCTAGGCTAATTGGTGTGAGTGTTGGAAATATTTATTTATTTATTTATTTATTTATTATTATTTATCCTAGGCATTAATATAGGAGGATAAAAAGTCCTGAACAGGTGTCAGGATAAAAAAATCATCCTATTCAAAGGAGTTTAAGAAGGCAATATGAAAAAATACAAAAGAATAAGTCTTCATGTAAAACAACTGAACTGTACCCCTAGCACGAACCAATATCGAATTCTAATAGTAATAGTCCAAAATGTCATTGTCAAATGTGTACTGATTTTTAGTTCTCGTTACGTACTTTGTGGCGCTGCTGTTCATGTTTTCGCACTCGCAAACTTTTCGAATTCGATAATGGTTCGTGCTAGGGGTACCGATAGCAAAAGTAAAACAGAATTAGGGAGCTGTAAAGTTTTGTGCGCAATTATTGAAATATATCAATGTCAACGCGATTCAATAATCTTACCAGAAGGTAAGATCGTCAACATACATCTGTATCTCCAACTCTACGTTCAAGGTGATAGGCATGATATTAAGACACTGCTATCACTCGCTTAAATCAGGATCTACAAAGAATCCCTGGTTAGTTCAACTCCATTGGGTTTTTTATAAATCCATTAAAATGCCAGGCCATTATTTTACGTAGTTTCCGTCAGTTTGTTTTGCTTGATTTAAGTAACGAGTTCGATATTGTACACCGGTAATGTAATATAAATACAATATTTGCCTAGCGTTAAGAACCAAAGTTTACTGATAGATGCTACTCTCAGCTGGGAAGAACATGTTAATGCGGTTAGTCACAAGGTAATTACCACACTTCGAGCACTATATCGCTTCCAGTACCAAAATGGCACTCGTGCAAGGTCTTATTCTTCCTATCCTCGACTACGCTGACATCTGCTATTCTGTTTTTTTTTAGTGTTACCAGGTTATCAATCAAAAACTTCTTATCGAATTGGATCGTTTGCTCAACAGCGGTATTCGCTTTGTCTTCGGGTTACGTAAATACGCCACATCTCAGTCTCTCTTGTTAGAAAACAACTTCATTGGTTGCTCATCAGTGCCCGAAGAAACCTTAGATTACTATGTACGCTTTTCAACCTTCTATACGATCCACGTGCCAGAGTATCTGAAATGTAGGTTAAAATTTCTGGCCACTTCCAACCATCGTGACCTTCGCTCGTGCAGAAATCTTACTCTACAAATCTCCCTTCATCATTCTGGGTTTGGATCCAAATCTTTCACTGTCATACGCCTGTGGAATGTTCTACCACTAAGAATTCGTAGTTCTTATAATAAGATAGAGTTGAAAAAATGAGTGCGTGACCTGACTACGTAATCTCTTTCTTTATTTATTTATAGTTTGCATCTATTTTTATGACGTTGACCCTGGCGCTACTTCTGATATTAACAATCTGTATATACTCGTATAATCTTAATATATAAAAAAATCGCGTCACGTTGTTTGTCCGAAATGGACTCCAAAATTACTTAACCGATTTTTATCAAATTTGCTCACCGTGTGGAGTTTGATACAACTTGAAAGATAGGATAGCTTACATCTGAATTGATAGTCGCAATATTATTACTTTTGGGCGGTACGAAGTTCGCCGAGTCAGCTAGTATAATATAAAATGAGATATGAAATAACATATTTTTTATATATCTTGTACAATAATAACCACCAGCCCAGTTTTTAGAAAATATTTTAAGCACCTATGATCATTCAGAACAAAATCATAAACAAAAGTTGTTTTATTTCCTGTTCATTTGTATTCTAGCATTAAAAATATGTTAAAACGATGGTTATTCATATATTATGTTATCCTACTTTCAGCTATAATAATTTAGTTCTAAATTAATACAGAAATTTATTCAGAAACAATTGTAACTTTCTATACCTAATCTATACCTGTCCTTCTAGGTATAATTTTAATTCTTTCTACTTAGCGTTTTGTGTTACTTATCAATTACTTCTCACCAGCAGATAACAAATAGGTCTTCATCCAAACGCTGTGTGTTTTATGGGATCATATAATATAACTGTTTTGTATTACAACAAAACAGATATTATATGTTGATTAAAATACACAGCGTTGCAACAAGGACCTTGCAGGTGAGTATGAAGACACCTATGAATTTAAAAACTGACAGCGCCACTGATGAGTAAGAAGTGAAAATTGTAAGTAAAGCTATACCTTTAAGTACTAAACATTGTCAAATATACCACAGATTAACCCGAATCATAAGACAGCTTCTTCGTCCAAGCGTTTGTGTGTTTTAATCAACTTAAACTATTTGTTTTGTTGTAATGCAAAACAGTACCCCTAGCACGAACCATTATCGAATTCGAATAGTTTGCAAACCGAAATGTCAATGTCTAATTTTGTACGGAAACTTGAACAACAGTGGCACAAAGTACGTAACGAGAACTAAAAATCAGTACACATTTGACAATGACATTTCGGACTGGTAAACGTTACGAATTCGATAATGGTTCATGCTAGGGGTACAGTTCTATTATTAGGTTATATGAGGAAAAAGCGCATAACCGTTTAAAAGGTGATCTACAAACCGATCGCCCTTAAATTATGGTTGCGACATTGTTTTTCTAGCATTCTTCCGTAGAAAACAATGGATATTTAATGTAAGCAAAAAAAAGCAAGGGGACACAATTTCATTGGCGTACGACTTAGGTATTTGTCAATCCTGTTATTACCCTTTCTCGATCGTAAATCATTTTGCCCAGATGTGTAGAATTAGCCGGGCTCTCGATACGATCGCAAGGAAACGTTTCCCAAAAATAATAAAAAAATACCTCACACGAGTCCAATCAACCATTATTATATGACATGAGGGCAGATTCTATTAATTTATAACCGATGTGGGTGGATATACTGACATTATTTTTCCTTAGGACCGCGGACACGAACACGAATAACAGTAATTTTGTGTTGTTTTTATTAAGTCGTCGTTATTTGAATTAGCGTGGGTACGAGTTCCGACGCTGAAATGAAACAATTGTATATTGTTATTAATTGGCAGAACAATAATGCATAATAAACTTTATTATATTTAAACAACGTAACAAAGTTATTTTATGCAGTTTTATTATCATTATAATAGCTCCGTTTTGTTATTTGATATGGGTCCAATTATGATGACCGTCCATCAAGTTATTTGCAATACCACTTAAAAATATTGCTGAAATAAAACAAATCAAGTTATTTACTCCAATTAAACCTAATTTCAACAATTACATCAATGGAAGTATGGATACCCATAAAAAGTATGACAAAATGTTGAAACGTTTTTTTCTGGGAACCAAAAGGCTAAAAAGTTGTAGGCTAATTTATATGTCTATGAAAATTATTTCCGATCCGTTTGTATCTTTGATAAATTCACTTGTTATTTGACTTCGCGTGAGAGCGATGCTACCGAATGAAAAAAGTTATTGTTTTGATAAAAAATGACATGCCAGAAAAGCATCTGATAATAGACGTGGGCCGAGCACAACAAAGGAGAATTGGTTAACACTACAATAACACAATACGGGTCGAATATTTTTGATTCGGGTGTAAAATTAAGTTTTCAAAATCGGTCTCCTTTGTTTGTTAGATAACACGCGTTTTTTTATGTGGCACCTCCCTTACAATGTAAGTTTGTTTTATAAATGATTCCCCTATTAATAAATTACTGTTTTCATCGTAAGTTGTTATCCAATATTATATTTAATTGCAATACGTTGTTATATTGTTCATCGGAAATTCGGCATAGCATAGTGTATTTTTTTTAAATGCGACCTGTGAATCTTAAACTTTTTTTATATGAAAAAGTGTGATATTCCTTTTTCAAATT